CGCGGCCTGATGGCGGTGGATACGCCCCCCCGCCCCGGCACCGCCACGGCCGCTTACGTGAGCGTTTTAGAGTAGAAGGCCGCGGCCTCCCGAGCCCGGGATTTATAGTCAGCGAGATCTCGCGAGAGCAGCGGGACCCCGCGCCCTGCATGAGTCACACGCCCCCTGGCGCACAGGAACGGGTCGCCTCTTCGCTATACAGGGCGCATGCGTAGAGAGGCGGGGGCCCCGGAGCGAGCATGAGTTAAAAGCAGGAGTATAAAAACGGTGGGGGGGCAGGGCCAAGTTCCTTTTGCAGGGGTCGGGGGGAGAGGTGATAAGTGGTACGGCAGTGTGGGGTCAGTTTTGTAGGATTTAGTGCTGTTTGGGTTCAGGTATACAGCTCAAAAAAACAGAAAGCTGTAGGTTTTTTATGTTTCTTGCAAAAAAAAAAAAGCTGTAGGCTTTTATATTTGTTGCAAATATATATATATTTACTAAAACAAACATTAAGAAAAGCAAGAGCACAGGTCCTGCTGAGGGTAAGGAGCCCCGTTGCATTGGCTCACGGGTGAGCAGACACAAGATTGGGGGGGGGGTCTGGTTTCAGGGCCTCGGAGGAGAACTGTGCAGAGAGCGGGGATCTGCAGCTGGAGCTCTCTGGATCTGCTGGGGGAGGCAGCCGGAGAGAGCAGCTGATCACCATTGAATTGCGCACCCCTGAAATAGAGGAAAAGGATGTGCGGCTTTGGCTGAAAAAAGCACTGCAAGAACATGGGAACCATGGAGAAAGACCGAGACAAAGGTGGGATATGGGCTGGTGCCTGGAAGGCCTAGCCCGTGCTGAGGCATGCCTGGGAAGCCTGGAGAGCTCTAGCACTTGCCCATGACCTTCATCCCGGGCCCACCTGGGCTTTGTTTCCTCCCGGGGGCTGCCCAAGCTGTGCCGCGCTTGCAGGGCGCAGGGGTGCTTGGCGGTGGGTTGCCCTGTCCAAGTCTGCTCCACGTGCAAAGTGAAAGGCCAACAAGGCCCAGGACCGTAAGGAGCTCTGGCGCTGTAACTTGTGTGGGGAAAAGGGACAGGTTTTTAAAGCCTGCCCCAAATGCTTCGTCCCCATGTTGAAGAGCGAAGGGGTGGCTGCCGTGGTCCCGATCTCCGAAGCATCAATAGGGAGCAAGGGGGCAGAGGAGAAAAAAGAAGAGCCCCTGAAGAGGAGGCATGGGAAGGAGACCCGCGAGTCGAGTGGGAATGGGAGGGGGTTGTCCCAGCACTCGGCGCTCACCTGCGAGGGAATCGCCTTGGACGAATCTTGCAAAAGAAGTAGGTAAGAGCGCAGGGGGCTGGGGGAGGCAACTACACGTGGGTTACTGTTGGGGCATCCCCAGCCCCCTTCCTCCGGCTTTCTCCTGCTGTTCTTTGCTTGCTCTGCCTAAGTCCCGTCCGCAGAACCGGGGTGCTCATATGTCTTTAAAGTGTTGGCTTAGAAATGGTATTTAGAGGCCTGTTTTGGGGGGATTGGCTTATAGATATAATAGATACATGCATTATAAGGGTTCAAGATGGGCAGCAGGGGCTAACTGATTTGTAAGCGTGGGTCTGACACGCACAGCCTCTCCTGGCCCCGAGAGACAGGGTGTCTAGCACAAGGCCAAGGGATGGACACAGCCTGGGAGTTGAGGGGGGCATGCCATAGCACAAGATCCCAGCCTTCAAGGCAGATGCGTTGTCTAATGCAATGAGGACACAGCCTGGGAGCTGAGGAAGTGTGTACCATGCTGTCCTGGATAAGTGACACCAGCTACAAGGCTGCAGAGCAGCGGTAGGGGTGGGGCTGAGCCCCGGTTTTGGGGGAACAGGCCACGTTAGGAGGAGGCCTGGAAGGCTACGTGGATGTGTGACCACAGAGAGATGGCCAAGCAGAGAGAGCCACAGAGGAAGAGACATCAAGGGGGAAGGAGAATACAAAAACAGACTTGAAATTAACAATGGGTCCCCCCTTCTCTTCCTGTCTCCCTCCCTAAGAGGTCCCCATCCCCACCCTGCAGAGGCCACCATGAACCGAGGGCATGCACCAGGCCGTCTCGTGCACCCCACTGGAGGGGGGCTGTGGGCCTCGGCATCCCACCTGCAGACTGCTGATGCCTAAGAGAGCCCCGGTGGAGCCTGTGTCCTGACCGGATGTACTTGGACTCTGACCACCCTAGGATTGGTAAATCTAGAATTGTTTGATTGTTCGCATTGCTGTTTTTCCGTCATAGCGCTGGATCGATAAATTCGCCTGCTCTCTCCTGGCAGGTGGTGTGGTCGGCCTGAGGGTTGTGCTCGCCCCGGAGCAAAGGTACAGAGGGGCTGGGTCCAAATCCAGTGCCAGCAAAGGTCTGTGCACCCTCCGTAGCGGGCACATGGCATGAGGACCACAGCTCCCAGCATGGATTGCAGCAGGCTCTTCATGGCATGATGGGGAAGGCTGCCGCAGGGCATGCTGGGAGTTGTAGTCTTTCTCCCTCCTCCCCCCCCCCCCCCCCGCACCCCGGTGTCCGCGCGAGGCGGTGTGCGCCC